AGTTAATACAGGTAGTCCTTGACTTACCACCGTTCATTTAGTGAGCGTTTGAAGCTACAAAAGCTCTGAAAAAAGTGACTGATGATCATTTTTCAGACTTACAACTGTAATAGCATCCCTGTGGTTGCATGATTCCTGTTCTGTTCTGTTCTATTTCTATTATTTCTACTCTATTTTTCTATTCTTTTATTCTATTCTATGCTTCTATTCTATTCTCTTCTATTTTCTATTCTCTTCTACTTTCTATTTTCTTCTATTTTCTATTTTCTTCTGTATTCTATTCTTTCTATTTCTATTATTTCTATTCTTTTTCTTTTATTTGTCTTTTGTCTATTTTTCTATTATTTTTCTATTCTTTTATTCTATTCTATTCTATTTTCTATTCTCTTCTATTTTCTATTCTGTTCTATATTCTATTCTATTCTTTCTATTTCTATTATTTCTACTCTATTTTTCTATTATGTGTCTATTATTCTATTCTATTCTATTCTATTCTATTCTATTCTATTCTATTCTATTCTATTCTATTCTATTCTATTCTATTCTATTCTATTCTATTATATTATATTTTACCCCTACTCCTTCCCTATTCCCTATTCCCTATTCCCTATTCCCTATCCCTTATTCTATTTCTATTGTTTTCTATATTCTATTCTACTCTACTCTACTCTACTCTACTCTACTCTTTCTATTCTATTCTCATGTCTATGTAGATTTTCCATTATTCAGGTCGTGGTTGTCTCTGAGGTGCTTTTTCCAAAAGGCAACTGGATTTTCTTGTTTTACTTTGAAAACCTTTCGTTTCTCATCTGAGTTCATGAACCAAAGAAGCTTTGGATAAGTAGCGAAAGGTTTTCAAAGAAAAACAACAAGAAAATCCAGCTGAATTTTGAAAAAAAAAACACCTTGGGGCTTTATTGGCAACAATGACTTGACCCTCTTCAGTCTACTGCTTAAGCCAAGAGCTCAAGACAAGAAAACCTGTTTTGTGAGTGAAGAAGCTCAGCATCCCTTAGTGCAGAAAATTGAGTGTTTGGGAAGTTCCAAGGTCAACTCTTGAAGCTTCAAACCATGGTTACCCTTTAACTTGTAGACCAAGGGTCTTCAAACTTGACAGCTTTAAGACTTGTGGATTTCAACTCCAGAATTCCTCCTCCAGTCATGTTAGCTGAAATATTCTGGGAGTTGAAGTCCACAAGTCTTAAACTTTTCAAGTTTGAAGACCCTTGGTCTACATGTTAAAGGGTAACCATGGTTCGAAGCTTCAAGAGTTGACCTTGGAACTTCCCAAACACTGATGTAGACTTTTCCCCTGCTTCCTTCTAGGGAATCCTCGGATAGATCAGAAAGGCAAAACCGAGGAGGTGGGAAGGAACCATTCTGAACTCTTGCTTGAGGAACGTAAGTGTATAAAACATTCAGCTGGATTGTTGTGGCATGTTGTGATAAGAAATGACATCAAGCTCTTTCTCCACAGTGACCAAGATGAGGCAGAATTTTGACCTGCTTATACTCAACCAACAAGTTCAGATCCAGGTTTTGCAGGGAATTCAGAAGCAACTGGATGTTCTTTTGCCTGGAAATGATTTGATCAATTCCAACATATACAGCCTTGGTCTTCTGTTGAGTCAGCAAGCTGCAGCAGTGACATCCATCTCTCCCCCTTTCTTTCTCAGTCCCAGGAATCTCCTTCCAGGAAGTGCACCTCATTTTTCTTTTTAAAGATCTTCTTAGTCCAATACAAACTGCTCCAGGGGTTCCTGATGAGCTTTATTTTATTTTATTGTTTTAGAATTTGTCAAACATTTCCTGTAGACCACAGGTCCACAAACTTGGCAACTTTAAGACTTGTGGACTTCAACTCCCAGAATTCCTCAGCTAGCTATGCTGGCTGGAGAATTCTGGGAGTTGAAGTTCACAAGTCTTAAAGTTGCCAAGTTTGGAGACCTCTGCTGTAGACCTTTTTTTGAACAAATTCAATGGTATGTCTACAGACCAGCCCAATTATCTTTTTCATGTAAGTAGCTTGATTCATTCAACTCTTAGTGTAGATTTTCCTTCATTTAGATCCATTTTATCATAAGATTGTTTCATCTGTCTTTGCGTTTATAGTTGAATCACAGAGAAATCTCAGCTTCTTTACCAGGGCAGGGCTTCAAAAAATTTAGCAAAGGGTTCTCTGCCTGGTTGTTGGGTGGGCATGGCCATGATGGGTGTGACCTAGTCGGCCTCCTGCACCACAGTGGAGGGGGCTCCGGAGGCTTTTTTCGAGCCTCCGGGAGGGCAAAAACGGCCTCCCCGGTCTCTGGAGGCCCTCTGGAAGCTGGAAATGGGCCCATTTCTGGCCTTCCCGAACTTCCGGGAGGCCAGTTTTTCACCCTCCTTGAGCCTCCACATACACCCTGCACTTACCTGCATCCAAAATGGGCCCTGTGGGGATTCCTGGGAGGGGAGGGGCAGATGGGCAAGTCAGGGTCAGTCAGGAGTGGGATTTGGGGGTTCTCTGAACTGCACAGAATCTTAGTTAGGGGCTCTACCAAACCCCTGTGAATCCCCAGCAGCCCAGCCCTGTATCTTTACATAAATGGAAAAGCACCCTGTAACATTAAATTGTGAGAGATTTGTTTTAACACACAACTAACCAAATCTATTAGTTTTCAAATCACTGTTCAGGACTGGTTTGTGGTGATTTAACATCTGTCTAGATGTCCATGTCGCTAGAAGAAAGTTATCCCGGCAGGGTGGGCACCCTGGCTGACACTCATTTCAAAATGTACAGATGAGTAATGTTATATTTAATAGGCCAAATCTTATTCAGGCCCAACTTCCAATGCTTTGACATCTTGAAAGAATGAGCTTCAGGGAAGAACCCCAACATAAATTGTATTTTTAATCTGTGTTTTTTTTTTTAAGCTTTTCTTCATTTGTCCAGAGAATTGAGAAGACCTGCTTTCCCTTAAATTTTTTTGCTTAACTTCTTGGATATTCTATGTATCCCTGATGGGCATTTGGTTTGGGAAGCTGTGATGGAAGCTTCTACTGTGCGATAGCCTTTTACCCTTGTTAACAACAGAGTGCAAATTTCTGATTAGGATTGACAACCGGGTTCATTATCAAACTAATTAAATAAACACAATATACTGACTTAATTCTGTGCTGTTCTTTAACTTCTGACATTTCTTTCTCACCTCGAACACGTTAGCTGTCTTTGAGGGAGGCGGTAGGGAGAGAAACGTGGGGGGCGGGGGGGAAATTGATTGGATAAAGTACAGCTCTAAGCACCAGAGGTATAACTTTGCTTGTTGCATCTCTCCTTTTAGGAGCAAAGGTTCCTGGGAATGCTATGGACATAGGATCCTTAAGGGTTTAGGACAGTGGTGGGATTCAGCCAGTTTGCACCGGTTCACAAGAACTGGTTGTTAACTTTATGAGCAGTTTGATGAACTGGTTGTTGGAAGAAATCATTAGGGCAGAGAACCGGTTGTTAAATTCTTGGAATCCCACCACTATTTTGGGGGCCTCTTTAGTGAGGAGGTTTCTGTAGGGTCTCCTGCAGAGTGGGTGCACCCATTAACCCAGTTTAAGTCTGTGCAAGGCATGGACTTTGTCATGGTGAATTGTATTTAAATATGCATGTAATCTCCTTTTTCTTCTTCTTGTGCCATATATCCATCATCAGATGTTGGCAATCATGTTGGCGATCCTATTTTTATCAACAGCCGCACGAAAAAGTGCTGTTGAGTTTTGCCCAAAGTCCCTTACATTTTGAAGCCATGATGTTCTTCTTCTGCCTGGACCTCATTTGCCTTCAATTTTTCCCTGGAGGATTAAATCAAGTATTCTGCATTTTTCCAGGTGTCGCATCACATCAATGGTATGCTACTGGTTTGGCCTGGTTCTGCCAAGCCGGTAGTGGCGATGAGCAGAGGAGACTGCACCAGTTCTCTCCACCGCTCTGCTGTTAGGTCCACCTGCCCTCCCAGGCTCCTATACTCACTTTTATCCTCTGCTTTTGAAGCGCAGCTGCTTTGCGCGGCACAGAAGAGTGGTGCGCGGCAGCTGCTGAAGTGACCAGGAGAGCGCAGGTTTGCAGAAGATGAGGTGGAACGCCTCTATGCCTGCACAAATGCCTCTGTTTTTGCGCAAAGTGCATTATTGGTGCGTGCATGCACACAAAGTATGTGTACATATACAAAGCGCACCCACCAAGCCATGCCCACTGAACCAGTGGCAAAAGTTTTTGAACCCCACCACGGCATCACATGTCCGAAATATTCTAACTTTCACTTTTTTATGGTTTTGATGATTTTCCTTGGCTTTCCCAGGCAGCTTATCACCTCCTCATTTTATCAACCCAGCTTATTCGTAACAGCTGCCTATAAATCCATACTTCTAGCCTTTTCAAGTGGCTTTCTCTCAGAGTCCAACTCTCCACTCCGTACAGCAGGATAGAAAAGATGTGACATGTAATCTCCAGGCTTTTAAAATATTGAATCATGGGGGAAAATGTACGAGAGGAGAGATCCACCCCCATCATTGCTTAATCCATTTCATGTTAGTTTCCATCTTCAATCTGAGGGAAAGAGACCCCTGAACCTTATCCATAAAAGCCCACTTAGCTCAAGGCAGTAGGAATATATGGCATATCAGTTGATTCATCTACTGCAAGGGTTTTCAAACTTGGCAAGTTTAAGATTTGTGGACTTCAACTCCCAGAACTCCTGAGCTAACATGACTGGAGGAGAAATTCTGGGAGTTGAAGTCCACAAGTGTTAAAGCTGTCAAGTTTGAAGACCCTTGATCTACTGTATGAAGTGTGAAAATTATACCATTCAGCACTTCTGGTAAAAGATACCCAGTACCAATCTTCATGCTCTAACTGGGCACTGGGATGACACAAAACTAATAGATGTTCTAGTGAAAAATGTGATGTGATGGATATGGAGACAGGAAGTCAATGCTCATTGAAACAGTAGTTTAATATTAAGTAAATATTATTATAGTAGTATAGTGGTAGTGATAGGAATTAGAGTAAATCTCTTGTGATTTCTGTTGAACGCTTAAATAGTTGAATGGTATCTCCTTACTGTTGGAGGAGACAGATACCAGGAGTTGATTTAAGGACATGAAGGTTATTCCAGGACATAGGGAACAATCCCCAGAAAGGCACAGTCAAGGTCTAAGGGTGCTGGAAGCTCTAATGTAGCTAAGTAACTAGTAGCAGAGGCTTAGTACAAAATACCAGACATTACGAGCCATCTGGGACCTTGCAATGAATACGAGCCATATGATCACAAGCAGAGTGGCCTTCAGTGCACACTGGATGATCTTTAGCCTGACAAAAAGAGAGAGAAGAAAAAAAAGAAGAGCTGAAATATAGCACCACAACACAAAACAGATCGACTGCCAAATCGCATTTGCAGACTGAGTTGGAATATCAGTCATATCGATATTTTCTTCTCATCTAGCCCATCTCAGGCCAAAATGCAAAACCCTAGTTGTTTGAAGAAATAGGAGGCATGATGGATGACGTGCTTGGAAGACTGACCCAGTTCTTGAAGACTTCTCTTACAGGTTTTCCTCATCCAACCTAAATAGGAGGCTTGAGCAATCCATCTCCAAAGGACAATTTCAGTTTCCCCTCCCATCATGAACCACTCAAAACATTGTGAAAATAGAAATTGCACATGTTGTTATGCAAGAATCAGATATGATATGTATCTGTACAGGGTAAACCACCATGTGTCCTAATGGGATGGAAATCTGTGACAATATTTCTTAGGATTTGTCCAGTAGATGGAAGTTGAGTCATAGCAACTGGATTAATTTTCTTGTTGGTTTGAAACATTTAACTGCTTACCGTGGTGGTGCAGTGGTTAGAGTGCAATACTGCAGGCTACTTCTACTGACTGCCAGCTGCCTGCAATTTGGTAGTTGGAATCTCACCAGGCTTAAGGTTGACTCAGCCTTGCCTTCCATCCTTTCAAGGTGGGTAAAATGAGGAGCCAGATTGTTGGGGGCAACAGGTTGACTCTGTAAACCACTTAGAGAGGGCTGTAAAGCACTGTGAAGCGGTATATAAGTCTAAGTACTATTGCTATTATCCAAGAAAGTAATTATTGAAAGTGTTGAGATTCGGTCTACTTTATCTCTACACCAGATAATTCCCCAGGCTAGTCCTGGGTATAAACCCATTACAAGTGAAGGAGAAATGCTCAAACTCAGAGAAGCACACAAAGACCACTGACTTAATCTACTTTTAATTCTGTGTGACTATCTATAGATTTAGTTGTTTTCCTAGCTTTGCCTGCTTCGTTTAGGGGGGGGGGGAAGACCCAATAGATCACTCCAGAGTGATCTATTCAGCTCTAAGCATTTCAAACCCCATTGTGATAACCAGAAATAATTTCATACACTGAAAGCCTTCTGCTCTCAGGTAGTGAAAGTTAACACCAAGGATTGCATATATGCCTTACTTTCTGATATACTGTTGGGCTGCAGGAATTCCAGCCATGTCTTCATTCAGCAGATACTTCTTAATTCCTAAGCAGTAATTATTTAAGTATTCTGACCAAGTCACTTGACGGACATCAAAGGGGAATAACTGGAATAAAATGGAAAGGAGAATATCAAAGAAGGGTAGACGAACTATTTCACTCTTGGTTTATGCTGAATAAATCAAGTGCGGTGGCATAGTGGTTAGAGTGCAGTACTGCAGGCTTTTTCTGCTGACTGCTGGCTGACTGCAATTTGGCAGTTCGAATCTCACCGGCTCAAGGTTGACTCAGCTTTCCATTTTTCTGAGGTGGGTAAAATGAGGACCCAGATTGTTGGGGAAAATAGGCTGACTTTGTAAACTGCTTAGAAAGGGCTGTAAAAGCACCGTGAAGCGGTGTATAAGTATGTGCTATTGCTAAGTGCTATTATATGAATAAGAAATTTAGCTTCGGCAGGAAATTCCTCATTAGTTTAGCTGATCCCATCAACCAGAGTGGTTTTCCAGGCATTGGACATCCCTCCTTCTTCATATCTAAGACTTGTGATGCATTAATCAAGTGAAAAAGGGTCAGATGGATGCCAAGGGGTTCCAGTTGATTATTTCCTTAACTTTCTTCTAGAAACTGAATTCTCAGTGAAGGAGGGGCCATAGATGGCTCTCCAATTCCTCAAGCTGATTTGTCTGTTTGTCTGTATTTTCCAAACATTTATATGGCTACCTAGCTCACTCAGGTGATTCCAAGCAGGTTACAAAAGTAAAATCCCAAGAACAAAACCCAATAAATCACCACTTTCCTGATGACGACAATAATTAAACACATGATGGGGCTCTGAATCATGTGGCAAAATTTTCTCTCCTTGGCACTTTCAAAGCATCAAGGCAGTGTCCAATCCTGTCCTAAGGTTTCATCATCAATTCCCCAATTTCTGGGGAGCAACCAAGAGTTCCACAGTTGGAAACAAATTCAGGGATACCTCGAAAGTTTGGCTGTAAAGGAACAAAACCTGCACAGAATAACTTCACCTGAGATTTGCTTTGGGCCCTTCGTACCTTGATGCCAGATTGGGAGTTCTATGTCTGGAAGGGGGAGGCCTTGAGAAAGAATGGCTCAGTTGCATTGATGTTTAATCATAGCGCTGAATGTCGTTGAAATGATTTGGGAGAGCTTTAACTCTTGCTGGCCTTACAGAAAAAGGTACAAGGCAACAGTGTGCCTTTCCCAAAGACATATTTATTTCATTTTTATTTATTAATCAAATTTATACAGCTGCCTATTTCACCAAAGGTGACGCTAGGTAGCACACAACAATAGATAAATCTTTCCAGACCCATCTCGCCACAGCTTTCTGTATTCCAATATTTGAGGGGCTGCCACAGAGGAAAGGGGGTCAAATTATTCTCCAAAGCACCCAAGGGCAGGACAAGAAACAATGGATGGAAACCAGCAATGGAATTCAAAATATTTTACCGTATTACCGGTTCTGTGTGGGCACGCGTGCTTCACGTGGAAGTGTTCTAAATTTTAAGGCAATTTTAAGCATGAAATGCTAACTTATCTTCAGCACTAGTGAGTAAAACAGCTAAGGCCTGGCAATCTGTTCTACTGCACCTATCAGCTGAGCTGCAAACAAAGGAAATATAGGACAGGAAAAGGCAGGGGTGGGTGGGTGGGGCCAACTGTTGACTGGCGCTACCAGATCGCTAGAACCGGTGCGAACCGGCAGCATACCACCTCTGATGGAAACTAACTAAGAAGAAAAGCCACCTGGCATTAAGGAGAATGTTTAATTTGATAATGAGGAAGGAAAACTTTGAGTGAAGGTTTCCCTCTGCTCCGCCAATCAGGCGGGAAAACTAGTGGTTTAAATTGATTGGTTCACACTACAGGTGGGAAATTGAAGGGATCTCAGTGTCTGAGTTGTTAGACAGCTCTCTTTAAAAGAGGGAGCTGCCGAACAGCTACCTCACTTCTGTGTACCGGTCTACCGATAAAGAGCTATTCTCAGTACCCTGAGAATATATATTCATATATTCAGCAGGTTGTTGACCAGTTCTGGAGAACCGGTAATGGAATTTTTGAGTAGTTCGGAGAACCAGCAAATACCACCTCTGGCTGGCTCTGCCCCCATCTATTCTCTGCCTCCCATTGAGTCCCAGCTGATTGGTTGGGTCTTCTTTGGTTGCCCTGCACAGAAAAACGGAGCTGGAAAGCAGGTTAGTGGGGTGGGGAAGGAATGGGGATTTTGCAGTAACCTTCCCCTGCCACGCCCACCAAGCCACACCAAGCCCACCAAGCCACGCTCACAGAACTGGTAGTAAACAATTTTGAACCCCACCACTGGTCCTGCCTCTTCACTCAACCCCATACTTAACAGAAAAACTTCCTAACAGTGAGGACAATTAACCAGTGGAACAGCTTGCCTTCAGAAATTATAGGCACTCCATCACTGGAGTTTTTTAAAGAAGAGACTCGACAGCTGCTTGTCTGAAATGATATAGGGTCTCCTGCTTGAGCAGAGGGTTGGACTAGAAGACCTCCAATGCCCCTTCCAGCTTCTCTTCAATTCTATTCTATTCTATTCTTCATCATTTTCTCAATACTAGAAGGTGCAGTAATGGTGTAGACATGAACTGTCTTGATGGGGATTGATAAAGATAGAAATCCTATACCAGTAATGGAAGACAGCTGATTAGTAATAGGTAACACACACTGTTGAAATCCTATTTTATAGAAACCTTGAAATTCCAGTTTACATCAACTGGAATTGATTGCAGACTTCTGAACACGCTTATCTCAAGGGGAATTTTCTCATAAAATGTTCCAGTGTGTCCTTGTCCTTAACTCTGGAACTGTCCACCTTTCCAGGTAGTCCACAGACGAAACATATATTTGCTTTTTCCTAAAGCTACATTAATTCAATAAGATGCTTACATTTTTGTCTTTCGGATTGAGCTCTTTCATCAACATGTTTGTGTGGCCGGAGCTCCATTCCCAGGAATGGCTGGTAAAATATTCAAGAAGCCCCATGGCCTTTTCTAAGCGAGTCAAAAGTTTCATCGCCCTGAAAGACAAAATAGAAACACCTCAGATAGCTAGGCAGAGAATTATTGAAAAAAGTTCTTGGTGCCACAGTCCTCTAGGACAGTGGTTGCCAACTGATGGGCCGTGGCCCACTGGTGGTCCATGAGAAAATGTTTGGGGTCCACAGAGAAATGTCACCTCCAAAGCACCCCCCAAAGCAATTAATCCAGGCTGCGCGGGAACACAAGGCTGGGTCGCCCACATGGCCCACGGGAACGCAAGGCTTGCATCAATTGCATTGCAAACAACACGACATAGTGAGTGGAGGGGGGGAAGGGCGGAGCGGGGGGAACTTGCCCCCCTCGCCCCATGCACCTGGCCTGGCCACCTGGCTGCTTCTTTCTGCTTCTTTCTTCTTCTGCTTTTGGCTGCATGCAAGGAAAGCAACAAAAGTTTCTTTCTCTCCCCCAAACTCTGCCAGAAATGAGTCTTTGGGACCCTGCAAGGCCTCCTGCTCCAAGAGGCTGCCCCAGCAAAGACTCATTTCTGGCGGAGTTTGGGGGAGAGAAAAAAAAACACTTCTGCTGCTTCTGCTGCTTTCCTTGCATGAAGCCAAAAGTCTCTCTCTCTCACTCTCTCTCCCTCCCCCTGAGAATGGAACTGGAAACACTACCCTGCGATCACAAATAAGGAACGATTGATCAATAGGAAAATGGGGTGGGAAATTTTCCTGCAGACATTTTTGGGATTTTCCCAGGGTCTCTACAGACCCTGGCTGCTGCTGCTAAATACCAAGGGGGCATGATGGCTCAGCGGTTAAAGATGCTAAGTGGTCAGTTGTTGGAAGCCAACAACTTGAGTTTGAGACTCACAAAGGGTGAACTCTCGTTTCTTGCCCCAGCTCCTACCCACCTAGTAGTTTGAAAGCATGCAAATGTGAGTAGATAAACAGGTACCACTTCAATGGGAAGCTGACAGCATTCTATGTGCCCTTGGACAATGCTGGCTCCCTTGGTCAAGAAACAGAGATGAGCGCCATGCCCTAGAGTCGGATATGGCTGGACAGGGGAACCTTTACCTTTTGCCAAATGCTAGGTCAGTCAATAATAAGGCTCCTGTGATTCAAGATCTCATTGAGGAGGAGCGAGTTGACCTGGCATGCATCACCAAGACCTGGCTGACTCTGGAATGTGGAGGTTCCCCTCTCAGAGTTGTGTCCACCTGGCTTTTGAGTTTGGCACCACCCGAGACCCCAGGACAGGGGACGTCGGGTGGCAGTGGTCATCAGAGTGTCTGAAGCACAGGTGGTATTCATCCAGTTCTGACTGGTCCTGGCAGACCAGTAGGGAAATTTTTGACTGGCCCCGTCCACTTGCTCCTGCTCTTACCTCTCACCTCTCCTATATTCTGCTGTTTATTAGCTGAGCTGATTCGCGCAGTAGAGCAGATTGCTGCACCTCAGCTGAGCTAAAAAAAAAAAACAGCACAGCTCAGCACAGCTTTTCAGCTGCTAAAAAAAACTCCTTATTGGCAACAGGAAAGGCATCCAGCCCTTAAAACACTCTGCTAGCTCCATTCAGTTGCACAGACTCTACCTTGCAGGGGATTAGGGTGTCGTTAAAAGATGATAATCTATAGGTTTGGTATAATTTTAATCTTTTTAATATTATAAGCCACCCAGATTTACCCTGTAGTAAGATGAGTGGCCAATAAATTTAACAATCAATGAAACAAACAAATAAACAAACAGGTCTTCTGTATTCTTAAGGATACTTCCCTAAAACTGCTATCCCGACTTTTTTGGAACTGTCCCCTACACCCCACAACGTAGATCCAATCTCACTGTGGCTTCTTTCCAATCAGCCGCAGACGCAGGTCATAGAGAAAAGCAGGGCTTGTGTGATAGACAAACATCCGGTACTGATGGACCAAATGGCTGGAGGTCAAGGTGACTTCTGGTATTCTGAAGGGTTTCTCCAGTGGGTTTTTGTTAAATGAACTTCTCACATTTATTTCTGCAGAGTGGTAGGAAACAGATATTGCACCCATTGAGGTAATTGCATGAAAGAGCAACAATGATTAGACGTGAGCATTGAAGAAGGCAAAGCTATGTGAACATTGGAAAACCAGAGGTGGTTTTCAGCACATATGATTTGACAGGCTCAGGTAGAAATAGAGGACCTCCCTGTAGGGAAAGAATTATCTTCCTACAGGCAATAATTCTGTTAATTAGTGTTGTTATTCTGATGTTACAAAGGGTCTTTTGCTTCAAATATTTTATTTGGTCAGTGTCTAAGGCCGTGATTGCAAACCTATGGCACATGTGCCACAAGAGGCACGCAGAGCCATTTGTGCTGGCATGCGAGCTGCAGGCAAACTTACCTCATTGCGCATGCGTGCGCTTCGCAGCTGATTTTTTTTGGGTTGGTTTGAGGCCTTTTTCGGTCTCCCAGAGGCTTGGAAAAAGCCACTGCAAGGCTTTTCAGGACAAATAGATGCATTTTGTCACTTCCTGTAATACTGGAAGTTATGAAACAGGCCTATAATTTGTCCTGAAAAGCCTTGCAGAGGCTTTTTCCAAGCCTCTGGGAGGCCAAAAAAGGCCTCAAACCAACCCAAAAATCAGCTGTGAGGCGCAGTGCAGGTAAGGGGGTGGGGAGATTGTACACGCATGCACAGGGGGCATGGGAAGGAGGGCACGCATTGCATTCTGGGTGCTGGCATGCACACATTTTTGGCACAGGAGGCCAAAAAGGTTAGCCACCACTGGTCTAAGGGGTCTTGCCTAACTTCTAGGTCAAGGGTCTTCAAACCTGACAGCTTTAAGGCTTGTGGACTTCAACTCCCAGAATTCCTGAGGTAACATGACTGGAGGAAGAATTCTGGGAGTTGAAGTCCACAAGCCTTAAAGACTTGTCAAGTTTGAAGACCCCTGATCTAGGTAAAGGTTTTGTTGTGGCCTGTCGGCCGCTGGCCCCTCTGGCAGCTGAATCAGATGAGGAGGCAACATGTGAGTCAGCCCAGCCTCAAGGCAATCTATGAGCTCCAAGGGGGAAGAGAGAATGGAGCTGTCAGAGATAAACACAGAGGCGGAGACTGGGCCGTCGGTCAGCCCTCAGATGGAGAGTCAACAGTCGCCAGGTCTGGATGTGACTGATGAGGAAGAGGAGGAACAGCTGGGTCCAGTGCCTAACCCGTGGATGCACAGAAGGCAGAGGAAAGGAGAGCAGTGGAAATCTATGGGCCGGTCCTTGGGATGGAAGAGCCACCACTTCTAGGGAAGCCTCGCTTGGGGATAAAAGGCATGCTGGAAGAAAGCAAGCACACCTCCCACAACTTCCTTTGCAAATGTGGGAAGAGAGAGAGAAACTCCTGGTTTGTTGGGGCCATTTCAGGGAGAAAAGGAGCCAGCATCATCATCACTTTCCACAGGACTTAAGGACTTTGTTAGCCTGCTTTGAGAGAGTTGCTGCTGGCGCTCCTAATAAAGGTAATGTTTTGTTAAATACAAACAGCTTGTCATGTTTGGGAACCAGGTCAGAACAGGTTTCCTCTGTCCAGTTGTTCCCGACCCCCATGGTAACCTGGAGGTGGTGCTCGTGTCCATTTCTTAGCTGAGGGAGCCATCCTTCTCTGAAGATGCTTCCATGGTCATGTGGCCAATGTGACTAATGCCGAGGTTCATGGAAGGCTCTTACCTTCCCACCTAAGTGGTACCTATTTATCTACTCACATTTGAATGCTTGCAAACTGCTAGTTGGGCAGCTAAGGTGAGTAATGGAAGCTCACCCTGCTGTGCAGTGCTCAGGTCTCAAACTTGAGCTGTCAGCTTTTCAGCTGACAAACTCAGTGTTTTTCACTGCTGTGCTGTTGCACGTCCATGCCTTGCCTACTAGCTTACTAATTTTAACGATGCGTTAACCAAATCTCGCGAGTCTGAAATGATATTTCACCCTAATCAAATAATTTGCAAAGAAAAAAAACCCCTAAATTCTCCATAGTCTGAAACTATTTGTACACCTTCAGGAAAGCAGAATTCAAGAGGCTAGAAAGGCAGGGATATTTCAGAGTGAAGGCAACACAGATGAATTTTAGTACAGGGGTCTCCAACCAGGGCAATTTGAAGCCTGCTGGACTTCAACTCCCAGAATTCTGGGAGTTGAAGTCCACCAGTCTTAAAGTTGCCAAGGTTGGAGACTTCTGTTTTAGTGAGCTGTTACTTAGGTGAAAAGAAGCTATGAAGAAGTCACCCAATTTCCATTCCAACTCCCAACTTTTGGTGTTTGTAAAGGTTACATAGCAGACAATCTCTCTCTCTGCCTTTGTGCTGGGTGAGACCGCTTCTAAAACCACTCCAAAAATCCTGGTGGAATTTTCCAAGTGCCTTGCAAGATAACTCACCCAAATCTCCCCAATACAAAGAGTTGAGGCCACCTGAGGTACAGTTGTAAATCATTGGCGATTTTGGTCTGAAAAGAATGCAAATAAGAGACAACTCAGAATTCAGCAAATGCACTGAATGTATTGGTATGTTATTTGTTACAGGGGTATATATGGAGTTTATACATAGAAAAGTATTGTTGTGGTTCGCTGGCAGAAGGTGTGGATGGCTGAGGTCTCAGAGAGTGCAGACTCAGATGAGGGGCCTGCGTGTGATCAGGGATGGGGCCAGGACCATGCTGCCTTCAGAGATTGTGGAGGCTGGCAGCAGTGATGAAGAGGTCCCCGAGGAGCCTGTGCCCAGTGCGTGCAGGGCTGCTCAAAGGAAAGAGCAGTTGCAGCAGCACGGGCAACTCGGGAGTAAGACTGCAAGCTAATGGCCCCTCCCTTAAGAGATAAAAGCCAGCTGTGAAACCGGAGTTCTTTGCAGGAAGCAAAGACGTTTTTGCACTCAAGCCTTGTGGACGTTCAAAATATCTTGGTGGGTGTTTGGAGACTCTAAAATACCCCTGTGTTTTAGTTCCTTTGTACCATAAAAAAGCATGCCACCCCAACAACAAATCATGTCCTTCTAACGTCAACAATCTAATATTTCTTAGTGTTATCCATTCCTTAAACCCACATCAGATTTGTAGCTTGGTAGTACAACTCCCAATTAGGCAAACCAAATCCTCCTCTAATTCTACCATCTTGCAAAAGTTTTAACTTTATTCTTGCTTTCAAAAGAAAAAAGGACAGTTTTTAATGCACCTTCACTGTGGATTAATGGGACAGCTGTCTTGTGCATTGCAGTTAAAGCTCCTTTCACTTCTTAATAATAACAGATTAAAAGAGTTGGAAGCAGGGCTGGGCTTCAAAAATTTTAGCAATGGGTTCTCTGCCCAGTTGCTAGGTGGGCGGGGCCATGGTGGGCATGGCGCAGTTGGCCGCCTGCACCATGGTGGTGGTGGGGCTTTTTTGCCCTCCCCAGACACCGGAGGCTTTCCTCAAGCCTCCGGGAGGGCGAAAACAGACTCCCCAGGCCCCGGAGGCTCTCTGGAAGCTGGAAACGGGCCCATTTCTGACCTTCCCAAACTTCCGGTAGGCCCATTTTTTGCCCTCTCTGAGGCTCTGCGCATGCCTCTGCGCATGCCCTGCATCCAAAATTGGCCATGTAGGGACTCCTGGGAGGGGCGGGGTGGGGTGGGTGGGGCCAGCCAGGAGTGGGATTTGGGGGTTCTCCAAACTGTACCGAATCTTATCTAGGGACTCTCCTGAACCCCTGCGAACCCCTAGCAGCCCCACCCCTAGTTGGAAGGGACCTTATAGGTCATCTAGTCCAACCCACCACCCAAGCAGGAGACCCTACACCATATTTGACAAAGGGCAGTCCAATCTCTTCTTGAAAGCCTCCAGTGATGAAGCTCCCACAACTTCCGAGGGCAACTTCTGTTCCATCAGTTGATTGTTCTCACTGTCAGAAAATTTCTCCTTATTTCCAGGTTGAATCTTTCCTGGATCAGTTCCCATCCATTGTTCCTTGTCTGGCCTTTGGGTGTCTTGGGAAATAGCTTGACCCCCTCCTCCTCTCTGCAGCAGCCCCTTCATTAATAAACCTCCCTGTTCACAGCTTAGGAAAGGCTCCAAAAATGACAATTAACTGTTGGCTTTCAAGTCTTCTTGAAAGACCTGGATGATAATAGGATGAATTGCAACTTTGACAGTTCCTGACATTCTAAAATCTTGAAAATCAATTCATGCAATGGCGTACCTTTTGATCACCAAACAAGCCTCACCTGTGAACTGCAGTGTACCAGCCAATGGTGATGGTTAAGTTGACAGCGAGGTCTACTGGGATAAAATCAGCTACGTCAGTTGGATTGCATTTTACAGTCCGTACAACCCCTTTTGCAGCCTAGAAATAAAGGAGTTAATTAACACCTGTAATTTGGCATCCTTATTTCACACAGAGTTTGTAAACCCTGAGACTCGAATTCTGTAACAGTTGAGTGGGTTGGGAAGAGTTTTCCTGAATTAAACTGGGAAGCAAATTTTAGGGAGTTGTGGGACATTTCCCACCTTTGCCCTCTCCAGAATCTGCCCTTTCACTGCTGGGGTGTGATCATTCTCGTGCTTTCCTGCGTGGGAAACCAACCCTCTCCTAGGACAATGAAATATTTTAAGAAATATTTTTTTAAAAAAAAAGCAGGATAAAATATTTCTCCTAAAAAAGAAATAAAAATCTTAAGAGAGACAGAAACTCAAGGCTGCAGCTCCCTGCCCCCAGCAGATATTTTGTGCCCGTTGAGAAAGACTGGGCCAGCCTATCTACAAGACAAAAGATCTTCAGCTCCAGGATGATGGGATTAAGACATGACCCTTCAGGACATAATAGAATTAACCCACTACCATTTAGCAGCAGAGCTCACTACATTGCATAATCTCCTAAGGACATTGCATCACCCTCCGAACGTCAACCAAACTTAGCTCAGACAACCTATAGAGCCAGCTATGACCCCTACATAACCCCTAGAACAGCCAATAGAAATACATGTTCTTGCACAGGAACAGGAAGCTCAAACACAGAGCCCAGAGAAGATATTTAAAAACCCTACTCTCAACTCTATGTGGTTAGATGCCCAGGACCACAAACCCACGTGGTTCTGCTTCATCATTAAACCATCTTTCCAATCAGTCTCCATATTTCCAGAGTCTTTCTTCCAGTTTGGAACTGAACCAGATGGATATTTCTTCCAACACCTGTTATAATTGTCATGAAAACCAAAAGCTTTTGAACTTGCTCAGAACATCTCAGGCGTCTTCTTGATCAGCCTGGGCTTTGGTCTGTAAGAACTATGAGACTTTAAGACAAAGACTCATAGTTCTTACAGACCAAAGCTCCAGCTGGGCTTCATGTTTTGGTTCTCAGCATTTTTTCTTGGCCTGTTTTGCTGCCCCTAAGATTCCAGCACAAGCCCTATTTTCATCTCTACCTACCGCAACTAGGAAACCATTTATGTTGTTGAAGTTGTCAATCCATCCCTGAAAAACAAAACATAGGAAACCAATTGTTGTGAAGCGTAAGGCATGTGTATATTAGGAGTGTGATGACCCAGGGTGGGGTAAAAAAGCAACAAAGTCACAAAAACCAGTGAAGTCCCTTTAATTCATTCAAATTGGCTTCAAAGGTCCAATGATCATTGACTGGAGAAAAAACTCCCCCACAAACAGTTGCGCAAAAGGAAGAACCTCTGTTCAAACTCAAAATACATATAAATTATAAATAGAAAAAACAACACAAACCACACTGAAGCAATTAATAAGACAAGGCAGGATAAGGGCTTGAAGATGTCCACAGATATCAAAATACACACACTGGGAAGGATGCCAGAACTCAGATAAGAACTGACAAACTAGAAATATTTTCACGCTTTGCTTCCAGCACTGGCCCATGCTCATTTTGTCCTTTTAAACAGTCCTCACAGCTGCAGCCCATGAAGGGGATCAAGGCCCTTTCCTCCCCTGTAGACCACGCCATTCATGTTTCTCCCTGATCTGCTCCTCCCTGCATGCCCTAGGAGGAAGAGGGGATGGGCCTGGGTCTTCCTCTGAATGCCCAGCCAGCCTGTGCCTTTCCCCAGTTTCCTCTGGAGCCACATACCCATTCCCTGTCGGCTGTTTCTCCTCTCCCTCAGAGTCAGATTCTAACAGAGGCATGACAAGGAGTATACCTTAATAAGATTACATTGTGAACTGCGGTGATGCAGTGGTTAGAGTGCAGTACTGCAGGCTACTTCTGCTGCCTGCCGGCTGCCTGCAATTTGGCAGTTTCAAATCTCACCAGGCTCAAGGTTGACTCCATCTTTCCAAAGTGGATAAAATGATGACCCAGATTGTTGGGGACAATATGCTGTCTCTGTAAACCCGCTTAGAGAGGGCTGCAAAGCACTGTGAAGCAGTTTATAAGTGTAAATGCGATTGCTATTATGCACAGCTCATAATTCAGCTATGCTAAATTGTGGAGACCCTGCTTTCAGAATCTCATGCAGAATTTTGATGCTCACAGTCTTATTGATAAAACGTTACAAGCAAGGTACTAATATTTGTTAAGGGCTAGCCAGCCAGAAAGGAAATTGATGGTGACATGGAGACATTGAATTCTGCTCAAATTTTTGGAAACCTAACATGGAAGCCACTAGATTTGCTGCTCCATGGATTTTGATGAAGGGACATGAATCTCAAGCTAGTTTCTCAGGTGGAACAGTAGAAAAAACTAATCCTTTTTGGCCAATGTCTGGATTTCTCAGATTTTAGGCCAGCCATTTTGAGAGGGGTGGAGGAAATGATAATGTTTAATTGATATTCATTTATTAAGAAAACCTCGGGCATTGTCAGCACATACAAAACCAGGAAAACGAAAGGAGAAATTTATGATCGGTACAACCAATAATTTGTCATGATGTATAGATTCATGCACTGATAATCTTGTTCATAACTTCCATTGCACAATAAGAAACCAGGTTCCTAATTATAAGTCGGGGAAAACTGATGTTAAACCTAAAACTTTAGTTCCTTAATTTCAGGTCAAGGTAAACTTGATGAAGGAATGTCTTGGGAGAGCTAAAATATTCCACTATTTTTCATATTGTGCACACTTCTGATGCCACAAATGGGAGCTTTTTTCTTTAACCTGCTTCCATGAATGAAGAAGGTGTTAGATTTTACATTGTGCAGGCATATTTTGTCATTTGAGTCTACCATGGGAATTGGTTTCCTATATCTAAATGGCTTATCCACTGTTCTTGTTAGTTTCTATGCTAATTTTAATTCATTAGTACCGTGATGGCGAACCTATGGCACGCATGCCTCAAGTGGCATGCAGAGCCATTTTGTCGGCACACGAGCTGCAGGAAACTTACCACACTGCGCATGTGCATGCCTCACAGCTGATTTTGGGCCAGTTTGAGGCCTTTTTCAGCCTCCCAAAGGCTTGAGGAAGGCT